CTCTCTCTCTCTCTCCCTCTCTCTCTCTCTTCCTCTCTCCCTCTCTCTCTCTCTCTCTCTCTCTCTCTCTCTCTCTCTCTCTCTCTCTCTCTCTCTCTCTCTCTCTCTCTCTCTCTCTCTCTCTCTCTCTCGACTGAATCACTGATACGTTGGGTCACGTTCCAGACTGAAAGATAAATGTTGTTCATATGATATGAATGTCCACTGATATGAATGCGAGGTCATGATAGGTCAGGGTCAAAGTGAAAAGGAGAAAATGGTTTCTTCTTTCAATGGTGTATGCATTATTTATTCATTTATTTGTTATTATTATTGTTATTATTATTATTATCATCATCATTAGCATCATTATCATTATCATAAACATTATTATCATAATCATTATTATCATTATCATTATTATCATTATCATTATTATTATTATTATCATCAGCATTATAATCATCATTGCTATTTCATAATCATCATTATCATTATCATTTTTTTATCATTATTATTATTTTTTTTATTATTATTATTTTTATTATTACTATTATTATTATTATTACTGTTGTTATTATTATTATTATTGTTATTATTATCATCATTGTCATTATTGTTATTATTATTACCATTGTAATTATTATTATAATCATTATTATCATTATCACTGTTACTATTATTGTTATTATTTTTTTATTGTCATTATTATGGTTATTATTATCATCAATGCTGCTGTTATTATTATTATCAGTACTAGTATTCCTATTATTATTGTTGTTGTTATCATTATTTTTTTTGTCTTTATCATTATTATCAATATTATTATTATCATTATTATCATTGTCATTACTATTGTTGTAGTTGTTATTATCATTATTATCAGAGAAAGAGAGAGAGAGAGAGAGAGAGAGAGAGAGAGAGAGAGAGAGAGAGAGAGAGAGAGAGAGAGAGAGAGAGACAGACAGACAGACAGACAGACAGACAGAGAGAGAGACAGACAGACAGACAGAGAGAGAGAGAGAGAGAGAGAGAGAGAGAGAGAGAGAGAGAGAGAGAGAGAGAGAATGACAGATAGATAAATAAAGAGATATATAGATAGAGAGAGAGAGAGGGAGATGGATAGATAGATAGATAGATAAATAGATAGATAGATAGATAGATAGATAGATAGATAGATAGATAGATAGAGAGAGAGAGAGAGAGAGAGAGAGAGAGAGTTGGATATTTGCACATACACGTGTACACATGTACAGATGATGTAAATCTGTGTGTCTGCGTGTATTGTACACAGACATTTATAGTACATTATTAAGTACATTAATGAAATTCCCTCTTATGGAATCCATTGGAATCTAAACTTGTATAATTGGTATATCATATATGTATTTGTCGAGGCTTCCATGTACCTCTGGCTTACAAATTCTCTACACATTTATAAGCCCCACGTCTGTTAGAATTAAACGACAAAAGGAGTAAAAAACACACAAATTTAAATCAGACATGAAAAAAACAATAAAAAGTTAATTGAAAAGAAAAACACATACATTCTCATGACCTCGGATTCTCTCGGCCATCAGTTACGCTAACACGGGGTCAAGCGTCAGACTGTCCTGTACCCAAAGAATTCTGACGAGCCTCACAACGGACAATAGATCAGAGAGGATGTGGAGCGTTAGACAGCCTTCTTTATCTATGCTGGATAGATAAAGGAAGGACTAGGGGAGTGCGTTAGTTTTAATCTATCCTCTCTTCTCCTTTGAAGAAATGTGTATGTTTTAGCCTCCTAAATCTTCCTTAATCCAAGCACACCTGCTCTACTCCCTGACACCAAGCAGGGAACCAAACAAGAGACCAAACAAGCGACCAAACAAGAGACCAAACAAAAGCAGAAAGCCAAGAAGCCAACAAACACTGCTTAACACAACCTCCCACCCCCTCTTTCTGGCGAAGGTCATCAAGAAGTATACACTCGGTTTCAACTCAATACACGTCATAAAGTTTGATTGAATAGAGATAGCAAAGCCTTACTCTATCATTATCCTTCCCATGTTTATTTCGTGATGATGAAGTGATGTAATCTCGGTCAGAATGCAGAGGTTCGTTCTGTGCTGTATACCGTCTCATTATCATGCTGTCGCGGCAGAAGCACGAGACTCCAGTCAACCTACGCAGCTCAACTCACATGCAAACTCTACCTTATTGCCAAGGTCAAGGAAGCTAACGCAGAGTCTGTCTTTGCTCTGAGCTCAGACCCGAACATTCAACCTTTCTGTAACTATAATAAGGGCATTCTGGACGTATCATTATAGTTTTACCTTTAACTTTATGACCTTAAGAGCATTAGTCATCAATCATAGATGATGTACTCTACTGCATACCATAATGCCGTGACTGCATTTTTTGCCACAAGTACCTAATTGATAAGAATAAGGAACTATTCATTTTTGGTTAGGCAAAATCATGATTATGATAACTCAATACAAAATCTTTAAGCGGCCATGTATTCTAAATTACGAATATGAATTCCCTCACATTTTGTTATTCACCAGTGGGTAATAATAAGGGGAAAAAAATGATAAATCCTGGAGAATTTAAAAATCTTCGCATCTACAACCCTGGCTCAGTTCAAGGCTACGGAAAGTACACAAAAAAGACATAATTTCGCG